AACGGCGAGCTGATAAGCTATTAACTGCGTGTCTTTGCAAAAGAGAATTATGAGACGTTCCGATCGCAGGGTAGACACCACCAATTTTGATACTTAACAGTTTTAAAAATCGTCTTTGGACTTGTTCTAAGTTGTTAATATGAAGTTGATAAATTGAATTCCAAACTATAGATGCATTCACAAGTTTTGACCTTACGAATGCATAGAAGAGGATGGTGAGTGTAGATGGATTAGTTAAGTCTCGACTAGCCCGTACAACAAATCCGTAAAGACGGAAGCAGCGGATATAATAGTATTATTATATGGACCAAAAGATAATTCTCTATCGAACGTAACACCTAAATCTGTAATAGTAGTTGGTCTTGTGTTGTTAACGATGTAATCAAATATTATAGGATTAGCGCTAAGACCATATAACATGAAAAAACATTTCGCGGCATTAAGCGGTAAATTGTTTCTCAGACACCAGTATTCAACTCTATCAATATTAGCTTGATGACGTTCGCAGTCTGATCTGTGAGCAATGGTCAAACAAAATTTTAGATCATCGGCATATAACATACAATTAACATCAATTATATCAGTGATATCGTAAACAAATAATATAAATAATAAAGGGCCCAGGTCCGAACCCTGTGGCACTCCTGATTTTGCAATATACTTAATTGAAGCCATTTATATACACATACTCAGAGATAAGGGACATAAAGATTGGAAACGCAACGACCGCAGCAACGATGGCTTCATCTAGCGTCTCAGATGTTAACTACATCTACGTCGTTTGTAGAGAGACCAGTGTTGCCAAATATTTTTTTTGAGAGATCGTATAAGTAGAGTAGAAAAATGGTATTTTGACAAAAAAATTGTACAATAGATACATGCACAGCATAATATAACTTAAATGGAATGAAAAAAAAAGCTTTGACATGATAATTTATTTATCTATTTATAAAAATGTTTAAAACGAAAAAAAAATGAAGAAAATACATGAAATTTTAAATTAACACATTTAAAGTAATCTATGACTGTCACTTGAAAGTGATTGAAATTTTGCATGCAAGCTTTTCTTATGCCGTGATAGTCGGTGTACAAAATTATCATGGTCAAAATCACGATAAGTCAGAACGAAAATGACTGCCTTCAGAAATTACGAACGGCCTATGAATCTTTGCAAGTAGTTTTTGATTTTTATTGTTTTATATTCTGAAGTTGATGCAGATATTCAAATAAACCTACTAAAAAAGTGAAGATCATATTTTTACGTACGATCTCACTGATGCATCGTACAGAGAGTTAAAAAATCTTATAAATACGATTTAAACATCGTACAGAGAGTTAAAAAATCTTATAAATACGATTTAAATCGTACGGTTGGCAACACTGAGACAGGTAGTAGACGTGGACAGCAGTTGACAGTTTGTAAATATAAATGTCAGTTTTATGTATATCGAAGAATCCTGAATTTAAATTTTGAGTTCATGATTGTGTTATCCTCTAGATGAACTAAGCGAAATAGTTGCGGCTGTTTTTGTGTAAAATTTAAGGACAATAATTATATTTTGTAATATTACAATAAGTCGGAGAACGTATTGCATTAGTAACACATGCCACATGAACAAATTTAACAACCCCAATGTGGCGTTCTTTAATTAACCAAAGTAGGTAAGATATATTCATGTAAGTAACACAAATAGTAATCAACTTTTGTCACAAAGTAGGTGTTTATGTATTATTTATTGTTTTAGAACAAGAAAATGGCTTCAACACGTTAGAAAGAAGATTTGATATATGAAGAAAAATATCTGAATTCCCATTATTGAATTTGCACTCAACATTTTTAAATAAGATACCAAAATAAAAACAAAAGTGCAGTGTTACAAATAACAATCAAAAATTAAAAAATATTTGTCATGAATATAGATTTACAATAATTAATCGATAATAGAGTGTAAGTGTAGTATTCTTTTTAATAAATAATTTAGCATAATTACATTGTTTAAGTTTATTTACAAGAACATGAGAGTGCAGTCGATATTTATGCGATCTTTATTATCAGGTTTTTAAATTTCCCGCTGCGTTGTTTGATATCGATGAAAGCGCCACATAGTGGGTCAGATGTTAACTGCGATAAAGCTGGTCGTTGTTAAGCATTGGCTTCTTATGGGCGTTTCCTATCTTTATCTCCCTTATCTCTGCACATACTGTTTGCGACATTGAAGATAAGATGTAAATAGTTTTAGGAGGGAATCATGAAATCCGAATAATTTTAATTTAGAAAGCAATATTCTGTGATCCAATCTGTCAAACGCCTTAGTAAAATCTGTGTATACGACGTCCGTTTGCTTCGTGACGTCCGTTTGCTTCATACTGTCAATATTCTCGCCAATGATTTGTGTTACGTTACCAAGATTAGTTAGCGTTGAACGTTGTTGTACAAAACCATGTTGATGCGAAGCAATTTTCCAGCTGACGTGCAAATTAATATCACGATACAATAAAACCTCGAACACTTTCGAAAAGTTACAAATTACAGATAATGGTATATAATTGGTTATATCATTCCTATCTCCCTTTTTGAATATAGGACACACTTTCGATGTCTTCCACATATCTGGCACGGTAGATGTTTTAAGACGTATATTTAACAATGCCATTAGAGGATAAGCAAGGGCATGTGCACAGTCTTTAATTAGAAAAGCCGGAATATCATCAGGACCTCTAGTTTTCTTTGCTTTAACTTGCTTTTTCACTGAAACTATTAATAGAAAGACAAGTAAATTGTTGTGTATCATCAGCTGTAAAATATGGATCCGACAACTGAATGAACGATTGTTGAAAGTGTTCGGCAAAATCATTTACAATAGAATTAGGATTATCTAAAATAATATTATTATAACTCATATTATTAGGTACAGAATTAAAATCCTTCGTCCTATTCATAAAAGTTTAGAAACTAGAAGGATTCGTGGTAATATTTAAAAAATTCTTTATAAGACTTTTCTACATCTAGTTTGATTTGAGCCCTTAACCTAGCAAACTCTATGTTCGCAGATGGGTCACTATTTCTCTAATATAGACGATGGTACTTAGGCTTTTTACGAATGAGACTCCAATCAATATTAGAAATCATTTGGTATAACTTTGGATAATTAGCTTTACGAAAATTATAGTTATTTATCATAAAATTAGCTAAACGATTTTTATTGTAAGTAGTATTGAATTTACAACAGATCTCCAGAGCAGGATGGTAATCGTCTTCATCAACCAGAGGATCCAGGGATCTTTCAATTATGCACTGATTTGTGAAGAATACCAGATCTAAGAGTTTATTATTAGAATTATGGATACTATTAAACTGGGATAGATCAAATATTAGTGCAAATGTGTTAACATGAGAAACTAATGTAGAAAATCTGCCGATTTTCATATCGTTGTATTCGGAGATATTAAAATCACCCATGATTAATATATCATGATTATGCAGAATATTTGTGGATTCAATCGTCTCAAAGAGCTTTTCATAGTTAACAGTGCTAGTTCTAGGGGGTACATAAATATTTACAATTATTAAAGTCTTAATAATAAATTTAATTTTTAACATTAATATATCTACAGGGTGTCCCGAAATTAGACAATCATATTTTAACAGCGTAATCTACATCCTAAAATAGAAGTGAAAGTTCATAAAAACATAGATCCGAAAAGGTTTCATTTTCGAGATATAGGGTGTTACAAGTGAAGGCCTGATGGCAAATTTTTGTAAATATTTTCTAAAATTTCTTTAGTCACCGGTTTACCAAAGTTAGAAAAAATGAAAGTTCTGATTCCACAGGCCTACTAATTATTGTTTACACTTTCGAATAAGATAACATCAACTTATTATGACATTTTCAAATGCTTTTTTCTTGAAAATGGTGCGTTCTAGCGAGATACAACAAAAGTATCTTCATTATAAAGAAAATATTGGCTTTCCAAATTTTGTAGCCAAAAATGTTAAAAACAGTCAACAAAAAAACTTAGGACAATTAAACCCTAAGCTCCTCCCCTATTTACCCACCTATGAAGATAATCAAAAACTGACGTTTAGTCCATTAAATGGAGCGTAAAAAGTGTAGCATTTGTACCAAATTTCATTTAGTTATCTTTAAAAATTTAGAAAATATTTACAAAAATGTGTCATCAGGACTTCACTGTTAACACCCTGTATCTCGGAAACAAAACATTTTCGAATCTATGTTTATATAAACTTTTACTCCTATTTTAGGATCTAAATTACGCTGTTAAAACATGACCGTCTAATTTCGGGACACCCTGTATAGTCTGAGTGAGTTCACTAAAGGACGGATAAATAGATAAACAAATCTGAGAAGAGACGAGTCTGTCATTCCCTGCAACTAAAACACCACCACCCATAGTACAATTTAAGAGATTATTTTCTGTCAGACCTATATACATTATGTGAATTTCTGAACAATTCCTGATTAGTGATTGATGATTCGAGCCAGGTTTACGTCAGGGCAACAACAGTAAAGTTCCCCTGTACAATAGAGTTATGAAATTCAATTCTTTTTGTCCGAAGACCACGAGTGTTTTATTAGTAGACACAAAAGTTAGACGAAAAGTCAGAGCTAGTTTGGTTGCAATCATAGATCGAATTAAATAAATTTGACTTCGGTAGTTGCTAAATAATCGAAAAATCTTGTTTTAATTTTTCTAAGGCTGTTTGGTATGCGATGTACTTTTCTTTTTCCCACACGGCATGATCGACAGGTACATTTAATTTAAGTCTAGTATTATGTTTACAACAATAAGAACAGTTACGTAGTTGGGATGTGCAGCTTTTAACATCGTGATTACCACCACAAAGAGAACAACTAATATCTCTAAAACATTTATTAGAACTATGATAATAATCATTACATTTATAACAGCGATACACCTCAATTGCCTCATATACTTTACAAGAATTATCCAACAAATAATATACCAGTCCCTCTTACCTTTTTATGAGTTATCTTATCAGTTTCAATCACAGCTTGAAATATTGCATCATTTTTCTTAGTTGTTATGACGTTCACGATATTACACTCTGCATCTTCCACAAATACTTCAGGATTACCTTTTTGAATTAGGTTAATAAGGCCGCCCTTCTCGAACATTGCAACAAGACGAAATCTAGGATTTACTCCAGACACTTTGCGAATTTCGTAGGAGTTAGATAATTTTTTAGCCATGATATCCCTTAGTTTCGTCTTATCTTCCTTACTTTTACAGCCATTTTTACATTTTTGATACGAGATAAATAAATATTCTCTTTAGATGGAAGTATCGAATTTTTTAAAAGGTAGGAACTTGAAAATTAGAATTGTAGTTCTTCTTAATAAATAAATAATGATGTATTTCAGGGTTTTTAGATTTTTAAATTTTAATGGGACGAAATGTGGGGGAGAAAGTTTGTATGGCAGTATCGTTTTTTTTTAAAAAAATGGGCACTAGAAAATTAAAATTCTAGCTACTCATCATAAATAAATAATGACGTATTTCAGGGTTTTTGGATTTTGCATTTTAAGGGCTGATAACGGGGGTAAAACTTTGTACTGGACCGGTCAACGAAGAATCTTACAGATATAACAAGTTGAGTATATGAACCAATCTGGAAAATGGTAAAAAACATGGTCTAAGAACCATTTTGGATAGAAATTTTTTTTATAAATAATACTGTTTTGCCATTTTTGGGTTCTAATTAACAGTGCTGTTTCTAAAGTGGCGCAAGGAAACAGTAACAAGGCCTGTCTGTAGGGGTGTAGAAGTATTAGAGTACTAATACTCCTGCACTATGGAGTATTAGACTACTAGTACAATACATAACCTACATAGAACACTAGGCTAATGACCTTAGATGTTGAAGCCGTACATAAAAAAAAAAGTTTAGTATTAGTTAAGATACCGTGTTGTTAAGATACAATATTTTATTTTTAAAGATATAAATTAAACTCAAAAGGGAATCCAACTTAACAAATGTGGTCATCTTCGACTAGATAAATAAAACTCAAAATCTATCGCACTTATATTAGGACAGATTTTTAGTTCACATATATTAGTGTTGTTAAATTGTTATTAAATTACTGTTTAAATAAATAAATACTACGGTATTACGTAATTTAGATAATTGTCAATTTAAATATTTGAAACCTCTGAAATCCTATAAAATTCACAAAATGATTTTCAATTTCTTATGGATAAAACGAGCAACACTTTTTTAAACCTCATCCGAAATGATCACTGTGTGACCGTAATTTCACACTCTTGTCGCTTTAGATAGAAAAGATAAAGCCTTTTTCGGCAAATAATAGAATTTAAATGCACTTCATGACATGTCAACGACAGAGTTTTGAGTTTAAAATGTCCATGGGTCGCGCGTTGCTTGGAAAAAGACCCTCTTTGATTTGCCACGCGTAAAGGATTATAAACACATTTGCGTGTTTTTGTACACGTACGATTCAAAAGCTGTCAAAAAAGAATACACGTGCGAAAATTGAATCCGTGGTGGTTAAGTTAATTATAATCAAATTAATTTTGCTTGTTAACTCTTTCGAGATCGAGCGTCTTAGATATGAGCTACAATATTTTTTTGAGAGTAAATAGCCATTTCGTCGGCTTACTGCCAAAAGTGACTAAGTCAAAAAAATCTCAGTTTTGTTTTTATCGACCAAATTACTTAAAACTATTTACTCTATATCTGGAAAAATTGACTAAGCTAGTAACTAATTTACATTTACACAACAGATTTTTTCACGTATGTGTAAGTATAACTTTCAATTTGTTTTAAGTGTAACTTACGTTTATTGTTTCTTTATCAAGTTGCTATAATTTTTTGTTGGTGGATTGTGATTTGAGGTAAGTAATGAATTTTTTTTTTGTGTCATCGGCGTAAGTAATGAATTATTGGTATCTTGGAAAAGTCGTAAACTTTAGATAGTATTAAAGTTTACAACTATGTTCACTACAGTGTATATCATGACTGATAGGTGCTTTTGGAAAAAACCTTTAAGTGAAAAGAATCAATCTAACATTCTCAATTGAAATGATTTCGTGTTGCACGAACTTAATAAATAATAATAAATAACTTTATTTCCACAATGAATACAAATTATAGTAAATGTATAAAAATACAAAATCCACAAATAAAGTTTAATCAATAAGTATTGAGACACTTGTTTTGATATGGGAACGAACATGGTATAAAAATACTTAAATACTATAAGAAAAAATATAAACCTATATAGAAATAACTATGCACTTGAGAAGATTATAGAACAATATTTTTCACAATAATAAAAAATTTAAAAAAAATATAAGTAAATTATATACAGTGAGAATCTTAAGTCTTACCCCCCCTAACTAACTCGTTACTGAAGTCTTGTTAGGAAAATCGCCGAGACAGGTCGATTTTTGTTTTCTACAATGTACATTTTTGTATGATTAGTTTACCCTTAATTTCATCTCTTACTCGAGGGGAACAACCCTTTCGAAAAATTTAAATGGCATGGGGTGGTGAGTGATAGCTCATTTGAAAGGGGGTTTTATTCTCTATTCAACCTTGCAAAAAAAATTTAAATTTGCTTCATTACGTGTTGATTTATTAATGTTTAAAAATAACAAAATCTCACAAAATAGGAAAGCAACTAAACTAATAGTGACCTTCTAATGTCAAAAAGTCTTACTTCACGTCTGAACCAAAACCGAAATCATGCAGGGCCGAATTTTAATTCTAAGGATGTGTGTTACGTTAATTTCCGTTATTCTGAAACAAAAATTAGTCGAGAATTAATGAAGCAAATTTCAAAATTTTTTACATGGTTGAATAAAGAATAAAACCCTCTTTCAAATGAGCTATCACTCACCACCCTATGCCATTTAAATTTTTCGAAAGGGTTGCTCCCTCGAGTAAGGGATGAAATTAAGGGTAAACTAATCATACAAAAATGTACATTGTAGAAAACAAAAATCGACCTGTCTCGGCGATTTTCCTAACAAGACTCCAGTAACGAGTTAGTTAGGAGGGGTAAGACTTAAGATTCTCACTGTATAAGTAAAGTATAAATATTAGTAAAAAGATGAGTAAAAATTGTGATACGCATAATACGACATTGAATATTTCTAGTAAAAACGAAAATATTAAATTACTTTGAGATTCCAATGTCTCACTAATTTTATTTCGGTCAGTTGCCGTTATATATGTTTTTAGTTAATCATTTGAAAGACTATTATAAAAAAAATTTGCGGTGTATGAGCAGGATCTTTGTGAAATGGATTTTCTTACTGGGGGTAAAACTGTAATCATTTTTTGCCTAGTATTATGGGAGTGTTCAGGAAATTCTTTATTTTGGGAGGAATAAAATTTAGTATTGGTCCAATAATAAAATAACTGTCTTAAGTCCATGATTTGGCATTCTTTATAGAGAAGATCAGACTTGTAAATAGATTTTTTAGATATAATTAATTTTAAAAATCTTTTTTGTATTATCTCCAGAGAATTTAAATGTACTCGTAGAGTTCCGCCCCATATGATTATTCCGTAACGCAAGTGACTTTCCACTAGGGAGAGATAAAGATTTTATCAATTTTAGTGGCAAGCATTTATTTAACTGTTTAAATTTGTATAAGATTGTTTGCAGTTTTTTAATTACATAATTAATATGGATATCCCATTTAAGGTGTGCATCTATAAAGATTCCTAAGTATTTTATCTGCGATACGGAAGTTATTTTGTTATTGTAATCGAATTAAATTACGGGTTTTGAGCTTACATTAAATTGTAATTAGATGAAACAAAATGGATTCTATGTATTTTGAGGTGATCTTTTCAAAAAAAGGCAAAACAAAATGTAGCAGGTTTTCGAAAGTGACGAAATTTTGGATTTTGTCAATTTTTCAATTTTGCGCAGACGCATGTCGGAAATAAATCAATATTTTTAAAACGCAGTTTACGACATTTGAAAGCTTAGGAAAAATGCTAATTTTTATTTCTCTTGAGAAATTTTTATCCGATGCACCGTTCTCGCGGTATAGACGATTAAAATTTGTTTAGTATTTTGAGGCAACGAAGGTCGAAAAATTGAATTTGTTAAATGTTCAAACACTAAATTCTTCATAACATTGGTAAAAATTAAGATATTTGAAAAAACAAAAATGCGTTTTGAACCTAAGGGATGTGACTAGTAATTCCCAGAAGGGGGCAAAAGAAGTCCCAAAATTGGGCATATGGCGGAAGGGCAAAGTGTACCGCGGTCCTAATTTCATTGTTTGCCTATAACGGCCAAACTATTTGAATTTTTTTAATACCACTTACAAAGCTTACTCTTAAATGTGAAATCTTATGTGTGTGTGTGAATTTCACCGACATCGGATCATAATTGGCTAAGATATCAAACAATTAAGTAAATTTTTTTCCTTAAAAAAAAATATTTTTTTTCGAAAGTTTGAAAAGGCACAAAAATGCCAAAGATGCACCCAATGGCTCAAAACTTTTTTTTTGAGTACTCTATTGTATCTAGAATACGATTACATTACGGAAAATTCTGCAAATATATTTTATCTATTTTTTTGACCACTCTTCATTGAGTGACGACCAAAAAACACGGTTTTTGAGAAAAGTTGCCTAAAATTGACAATTTTTAGTTTTTTGGTCTGAAAATTAAACAAACCCAAATTTCATGTCTTCTAAATATGTATACAAAGTTTAAAGTGTGTACGTTTCTGGTAAGTTGTAGAATTCTCCCGACAAAAGTCCCATTACTCGTGTATACACCACATTACTGTAATTTGATTTTTTTGCGATTTCCAGTTTTAAATTTCTTACATATCTAAATTTATTAGACTTAAAATTTATTAAATTGTATTTTACTGACTTGTTATAAGACGTTTCTTGAGTTTTGTGCAAAATATAGAATTACCGTCAAATTAGCCGCACGTCGCATCAAGGATAGTAATGGTCTCGACGTTCGCTATCTGACAAGTTTAAACTTCAAACGGTCATATTTTTACAAATTGAATCGCTTGATAGTGTTCATCGGCATAGATTTTTAATAACCGTGTTCAGCAAGCTCTGTATACACGTGGCTTTTCGAACTTCTCAGCAATTTATTGAGTAAGTACGTTCTTAAATTAAGAAAATTCTATCACAGTGCTATAATTTTTTTGTTTCCAGGTTGCAATGGCTGGCCTGTGTTTA